GCTCTGAGCAGCCAATGCATAAAGAAGACCATATGGCCGGCCCCTCTATGAGACATAACATCCATCACTACAGGAAACAACAGTGGAGATACAGTGTGGGAATTATGCCCGATCTGACCCCACCACACCAACGCAAACACTAAGGGCATGCAACAGAATAGCAAGGGGAGCAGAGCAAGGAAGTCCTGAGGGAATTCCAAAAATAGACTTTGGGGCCAGGGCTTGGCATCCCATCAGACTGGACTGGAAAACACTCCTAAAGGCCAACAAACAGTCCTTGAACTATTTATAGGCTTTTCTCTATTTTTGTCATTTTGTTGTTGTTTTGTTTTGCTCGGTCTTGTTTTTGTGTGTGCATATTATTATGTCTGCAGGTCTATCAACCTGGAGGAGAATACAACAGGACCAGCGGTTCCTGGGGGGACATAGGAGAGGGGGAAGCAGGGGAAAGGAAGTGGTGTTAACAAACTGAGGGACAAGGAAACAACAAGTGATCCAAAATCAATGATGAGGAGGGTATAAGAGGCCTGGTAGGGCATGATCAAGGGTAATGTAACCGAGAGGAATTACTGAAACCCAAATGAAGGCTGAGTATGATAGAGGGACAAGAGGAAAGTAAAAGGAAATAGAGGAAAGGACTAGGAGACAAAGGGCTTTTATAGAGGTTTAAATACAGGCATGTACATATGTAAATATATTTATATGTTGATGGGGAAATAGGTTTAGTATTAAGGTAGCAGATGGACATCGGGCCTCCACTCAAGTACTTCCTCATTGCTAGAACACTTTGTTCTATTAAACTGGCATTCCTTGATGCTCACCTTCCTGATAGAATCACTGAAGACAAAGTAGTGCATAAGCAAATGTGGTGAAGAAAGCTGATGGTGCTGGGCTATCAAAAGATATAGCATCTGGGGTCTTAAAGGCTTGAAGATCTAGCTGAGAAGCAACAAAGCCCACATGGAAGAAGCACACCAGCCTGGGTGATCACGAGGTGTCATCAATGGGATCAGGTATCAGGCATCAAAGAACCAAAAAAATCATATCATTGTGAATGAGGGGGTTTGTGGAGTGGGAACACAAAGCCCATCTGTAAGCAACTGGACATCCCCTTACAGAAGGGTCGCGGGAGGAGATTAGCCAGTCAGGTTGCAGTGTAGCAATGATGAAATATACAGCATTCCTCTAGTTCTTTACTGCTTCCTCCCCCGCACTATCATGATCCCAATTCTCCCTTACAAATCTGGCTAGACCAGAGGATGTACATTGGTACAGAGAGGAAATGGAAACACAAGGAATCTAGGACAGATGACCCCTCAGGACCAGTGGTGAGAGTGATGATACCGGTTGGATGTAGGGAAGGTGGAGAAGAAAGGGGGAACCGATTACAAGGATCTACATATTACCTCCTCCTTGGGGGACGGACAACAGAAAAGCGAGTGAAGGTAGATGTCGGACATTGTAAGACATGACAAAATAATAATTTATAAATTATCAAGGGTTCATGAGGGAGGGGGCTGGAGAAGGAAGGGGAAAAATGAGGAGCTGGTACCAAGGGCTCAAGTAGAAAGCAAATATTTTGCGAAGGATGATGGAAACAAATGTACAAATGTGCTTGACACAATGGATGTATGTATGGATTGTGATAAGAGTTGTACAACACCCCAATAAAATGATTAAAAAAGAAGAGAGATAAAAAAGAGTAGTTTGGTTTATCATTGTCAAATTTGGACTCTATTAGGACTGTGGAGGGCACTCTCCTTCTCTCTGTATATGTAGACTTTACATTCCCTCAGTAAAAAGAATGATAAGAGCACACCATGCTTAGGGTATCTGAGGGAGTACCTCCCCAAACTGGAATTGCACTGGGCAGAGCAGAGCTTTTATAGTATGCATGCATTTTTCCCACTAGGCAAGCATCAAGCAACTCATTCTGAGTTAGTGCACACTGTGGTGTCACCTGGGAAGGTTCTCCCAATGTCACAGTGAATTTTTTCGTAAAAGATGTTTTACTCAAACCTTATTTTTTGTGGTGGCCAATTTCAGAGAGCAGCATGCTGTTTCCTGCTCAGGAAAAATGTCACAGAAACTGTTGTGAGTTGAACACAGGTTACAAGGGCAGCATTGTGGGAAAAACTCAAGTGTGCGAGTGGTTTTCTCTTTTCAAAAAAGGTTGTTCTCGACACCCATCAACTTCTCAAATGAGAAGATTGTCAACTCGTAGTGCATTAGGAGTTTGTTCCACCAGGTGAGACTGTTAATCAAGCTTTCTAATTAGAGGTTCTGAAAAGATTGTGTAACAGTATGTGCCCATAAAAGGGCTTGATTTGCGGCAGACAGGGAGCTAGTTTTGCCACCACAACAATGCACCTGCTCACACAGCCATCTCAGTGCGCCTTTCTTGCCCCATAGAACTTACTCACCTGACCTTACTCCATTTGAGTTCTTTTTGTTTCTGTGAATGCAGAGGGACATGAAAGGACAGTGATTTGATGACGTAGAAGAGATGAAGTAAAAAATGAGGGAAGTGTTTCAGCCATCCAAACAGATGAGTTTGAAAAATGTTTCCAAGAATGGAATTGTCGATTTGACAAGTGTGTTAAGTGTAATGGACAGTACTCTGAAGATGATAAGGTTGCTTTGAAAAAAAAGTTAAATACATAGCTTTGAAAAACATTCTGTATTTTTTTGGGGGGTATCCCCTCGTATATGTACTTTGGGGGGGCAACAGAGACTTATGGTGATAAGTCTGAACTTGGAATCATGATGGTACTGGGCTGGAATCCCAGCTCCACCATTTAATAACTGATTTTTCAGCAAATTTTAATGTCCATTTCTCTGCTTGTAAAATGGAAACTATAATACTTACTCCAATGTCTTTTTGTGAGAAATAAGTGGGATAATTAATGTTAAGGATGTTAGCTTGGTGGCTGCTATTCCTTTAAAGACCTGTATTATTGTTTCTTCCCTAGTCTCTTCAAATATCGAGGTATTAGATGTCAGGTGATCTTTTGCCACTCATATTGTGTGTATAAACCATTTGGCTACATACCAGAAGCAGCTGGCATGTGGAGTTCTCCTATCAACAGAGGCACCTCGACGGCCTTGGGATAGTGAACCTCTGATCCAAGGTCCAGAAGAAGACAGTGACTGGAGTGGTTGCACCAGGCAGCCCAAGACTCCACGTGTTTTCAGGAACAATCTTTCTCTGACCTGGCTGCCCTTGCTTTGACCTTGATAAATGGCACCACTGTTTTATTTACTTCCTCCTCTGGCCTGGCTGTTTCCGCACCCTGCCTCCTCTAACATGCAGATGCCAGCGGAACCTCATAGTGGCAGTGTCACATTCGCTTCAGGAGAAAATCCAGAGCAACCGTGAACCCGCTCTGCTCAGACAATTTCATCTGGCACAGCAGTGTCCGTTATGGACTGCCCATCACTTACTGAATGACGCCCACGTAGTTCTCAATCTCTGCCAGGGGAGCTTTCCTCCAGTTCCTCTTATATCCCATCACCAGCGTGTTTGGTTTCATTCTTCCCAAGCCGGAGGCCTGAGCGGGGGACATAAAAACATGGACAATCCTTACCCTGCCCGGAAAACACCGTCCCAAATGAAAACTAATGTCCGAAAGATCCCCGAAGTAATGTTCTGAAGACGCTGAGGATTAGATTACATTTTAGTGCATGTCCTTCATGCCTGTACCCAAGCATAAAATAGGAAGATTAGTTCTAAATCATTGCAGCCATAAATGGATTTTAGATGACAGAAATGTAGCTTTTCTAAATTAGTAGTCATTTGCATTTCTTCTGACACACTCATTAAAATGGTTCAATAATTTAAAATCAAGTGAGGGGTGGCTTGGCTGTTGGTGTGTTGTAACTTAGTGGTACCAAGTTCATTTTCACCGGTGATAGCCATTAGGTCATTAGCAGTAAAATCCATGCTTAGAAAATCTGCATATACTGAGATCATTGAGATATCTGCGGGTGTTATTTATTGGAGACGAACTGGGTTATGCCTCCAGAGCTTATTTCTCTTGCATGACACTATCATTAATTGCCATCTTCCATATTAGATGTTTCATTCCTCCTGTGAGATGATAGTATATGGCTTGCAATTAATTACATTTAATTTGGCAATATTATCAAGCACTTATTAATTGGATAGTGTTATGGTAGATGCTGGGAGATGAGTGAGACATGCATGTTGGCCTACGGGAATTCGGAGTAAGCACTGGAAGACAATATTGCCAAACAAAGAACCACGGTCCCACAGATAAGCAGTGGGCACTCTAGGGAAGCTCCAAAGAAGGAACCTTGAATTCCCGCTGAGTGGGACAAGTGGCATTTGTGCTAGGTAGCTGGGGTTGGCTAGATTTTGGGCTGAATGGGGCTGAAGGAAGGGCAGTCTGGGGGATACAAATGAGCAGAGCTGGACGTCTTTACGAAGGATCCGGTAGTGGGTGCCAAGGAGACTGACACATGGTTCTGGGAATAAACTTGGCCTCTACCACAGCTCCTCGGAATGTACAGGAAGCCGAGCAATTCCTTACAGCTGTCCATCGGCCCTCCGTAGAGGCGTAGCAATGCAGATGTCGTTTTTCCATGCTGACAGTTTGGGGCTGTGGGTATTTGTACCATAACTTCTCAAATGCAAAGGAGGCTGGATGCAAAATAGTACAATTGGCAGTGTTTCCCTTGACTGCCACTCTTCTCTGTCTTTTTGTGACATGCCCCTTTTATACACATCCTTTTTGTTTGAAGAAATTCATGCGAACAAGCTTTACACTTGGTCAAACATTTCACCAGGTCTTCTTCCAGAAAGAAAATGTTTTGAAAATGATGATGGCAACATATGTACAGATGTGCTTGACACAATGAATATATGTATGGATTGGGATAAGAGCTGTAAGAGCCCCCAATAAAATGGTAAAAGAAAAAAAAAGAATTCTTTTCAATCTACTCCTGACTAAGCCTGTCTTCAGATGCTTACCTGAAATTTTTATTGATTTGTTTATCTTTTCTGGTACTATTATGTTAGATGTGTAATTCTGCTAACACTTAGCTACTGAATAGAAGAAATGCACCTAACTTACTTAAGAAACAAAACGAAAAACAAGTGCTGTCAAGTGCCAACTGAGGAAAACCTTATCTGTGCGGAGAATTCTCAAGACCATGTAACCTCTCAGAAACAGATCACCAGGCCTTTCTTCCTAGGCACTTCTGGGGCAGTTCTGGGGCAGTTCAAACCATCAACCTTTGGGCTAGTAGTCAAGTGCTTCCCAGTAGCTCCAAAAAGGAACATCAGTTAGGACTGATAGATAAATCAGCATCTTTCAGTGACATCTATTTCTATGGTCCCGGAAGTTAAAATCAGATTCAAACAGCTCATTGGAGGGAATAGGCCTTTCTGAAGTGGTTTCTTTGCCTTTGCCGTCACTTTGCAGCTGTTCTCCAGGGTCTTAGAGACAGGACTGCACTGCACCGAATGCTCTCAATCTACGGATCATTCGGGCATCATCAGAAGCCTAAGAGTTGCCTGCCTGTAGTCCTGAGTTCTGACACGGCTGAATATGGCTACTCTCATGCCAAGAACTCCCTGTATCATTCGGTAGACTTGAAATTGGGGCTTTCCAGCCATAGCAAAGCCAACATGATTAGAAAGCCAAACCCTTCAATTTTCAGAGGGTCTCTGGAGTTGCTGAAGAATCCCTAGCGCTTGAAATTGTGACCATCAGAACTAGGAGCAGGTTTGACAAACTTCCTAGAGGAGGGTTAAGGAAGTAGAGGTGACAGGATACCAGAAGAGAAACAGGGGGGAGACCTGTGGGCTGAAGTGTTGAGTCACGGAGCTTATTACATTGTGTTCCATATTCTGGAAGTAATTTCGGAGGGTAGGGAGATTTTACGCCCAGCTCACCACGCGCTTATTTAGTTGAGGCTGGCAGCTGCCCTCAGACCGTTTGCAAAAGAAAAAAGGAAAAGGAGGCCTGACTTAAGCATTGCTGTTTGCGGAATGAGATGGAAAAATAGTTTGAAGTTTTAATAGGATCCTGCATGTCAGCAACCATCAGCACCCATTTGCATTTCAATAAGCACTGGGGACCGAATGAATGCTGGTGGCTCACGGCAACCTCATTTTCCATTTGCAGTGTTTCATCCAACGTTTTTTGTAATAGAACTTCTCTGCTTTTGTTTTAGCTTTGCCTATCCCTGGGAAGTTAAAAATGAATTTCTGAACCAGCCGCCTTGATCTCTGATGTGGCTTGCCTGACTGGATCCATTCATTTCCGGGAGCGTCGGGAACGGGGAGGCCTGATTGTCTTCTGCCCTTGTGCTTGCTCCTTCCCTCCAGGCCAGCCTTACCTGAAGGAGACTCCGGACACCGTCTTGGAAGCAGTCTGCGGCCACTGCGGCATAAAAGGCCTTGATTTTGTTCTTGATAAGCCAGGCCTGCTTTTTCGCCATGCCACTGTTCATCTCCTTAACACAGAGCTTGCGGGGCCCCTGTAAGACACAATGAAATATTGCTTAGAAGCCTGGCTCTTATACATCACCCTGTTGTTTCCTAAAGGACAAAAATAGCCGGCACTGCCGCACTGAACTAGGAAATAAGACTGAGGGAATCCACCTCTCTCCACAGGGTTCACACAGATCCCACCTTGTGGCGAGGGCCTGGACTGTTCACGTCATTCCCTTTCCACCCCAAGTATCTCGAGTGATTAACACCTACTTCATTAACTGCCTCATTCCGGAGGCAAAGAAACCTGGAGTGCACAGTGGAACATGAGGAAAATATGGGAAAAGTGATTGAACAGACTCAAGATAAATACACAATCCACCTTGACTCCATGGCCGGAGCCAATTTGAGGACCACCCAGGTAATCTTAGTTAGAGTCCAATGTCAAGCACTGGACAGAGCTTCCTGGAGCCAGTCATGGTGAGCTGCAAATCTTGCCAGGAGCGACCACCTTCTGACAGTTCGATTAGGCTGATTCATTGCTTGGGGTGGGTGGCAAGAACACCCATGCGCCGCCACTCTCCCCCAATGGATCTGGACACATTTGCATAAATTAACATGGCCCTCACACTCACCATATTTGGTGAGAGGAAAAGATTAAAGAGAGAAAGGAGAAGGAATTGTGGTCCTAGATAAAGGCATTTTATAATTTCAAGATCGACGCTCTGGATATTCATTTGTAACGAAAAATTCTATTCTTGTTTCTCATTCCTCAAAGGTCCCAGCTCGCTCTTCTCTCCTCATGTTTCAATTCAGTCCACATACATTATCTATTTATTTATTTAGCCGCGGTGTGTCTGACAGGGTATGAGGCTGCTGCACTCCTGGAAAATCCACTTGATTCATAGAGCGCTTGGGTATTTTGTCAAAATGCCTACGGTTTCACCTCTGTGACCTTGATACAAAGCAGATTCTGGTTCAGTAGGTCTGATTTATTGAACCTGGTGTGCTGCAGCAGGTTAAGCGTTGGGCTTCTCGCCACAAGGTTAGCGGTTCCAACCAACAACGTGCTTCACAAGAGAAAGATGAGGCTACCTGTTCCCTTAAAGACTTATAGTCTTAGACACCCTAAGGAAGGGGCGGGGAATGTCCAGCCTGTGGGCCATATAAAGCCCTAGAAACCGTCAATACCAGCTAACATCACACACCCTCACATTAAAACCCCAATCAAACTCACTACCATTCTGTCCATTTTAACTCACAGCAGCCCGATAGGACAGAGTGGAACTGTTCCTGTGGGTGTCCAAGACTGTAACTCTGTACAGAAAGCCCCATCTTTCTCCCATGGAGCAGCAAGTAGTTTCAAACTGCTGACCCTGAGGTCATCACCAGGCAACCAGTAAGTTAATTAAATGTTTGAGCTGTCACACCCAAGAATGATGTTATAAATATCCAAATGGCCCTTGGCAGAAAAAAGATTCCCTGCCACTGCTGAAGTTCTACTTTGTCTTTGAATTGGAATCCACTCATTGGCAGTGAATGGGGTACAGAATTTCCATTTCTAATATATTCTCTGATGACAATCTAGCAGGCCTACTGCTGGAACAAAGGTCACAGGTGGATTCTTAGCCTTAGAGGGTCTTAGATGGGAGAGAGAGCCCAATCGACTGTATGAAGAGGCCGCACTACATGGTCAGTGGGGACAAGTTTTCCATCTAAGTTTGGCTACTTCGTGCATCATTGATTATTTCTCAGCTTTCATATCTTATTCTGAAAATAGGGATAGCATATGCTGCATGGTAGTTTTAAGTGGTAATGAAAAACCGCCTAGTACAGTGTCTAGAATATAGTAGATGTTCATCTAAAGTTGATTCCTCTGATCTCAAAGGAGTGCTTACAATCTGGTTGATGCCAGAGACCTGATTCTATCACTGGGTTTGTTCTGTGATGGAGCTGGAAGTGCACTGGACTGGGGATCGGGAAGTTGGGTTTAGACTTTGCTCTGACACTGACTGTACGGATTCTCTGGGCACGCCACCTGACCCCTCTTCATGCAGCGTCTTCCTATGCAACAATGAGGAAATGATCTAAATCAGGATTGTCTAGGGTGACAACCCTTAAGTCCATGTAGCTATAGAGCATTTGTAATGCAGCTGGATTGAATTCCAAAGTCTTACAATGAAATAAATAAGTAAATAACCTCCCTCACCACTATTTTATAGTCATTACTTATTGAAATGACAATATTTAGGAAGATATATTGTATTAAATAAAATGCCTTATTAAAATGAATTTTACCTGCGTGTTTTTATTTCTGCAATTTGGCTACTAGAAAATTTATAATTTAAGACATGGCACATATGATATGGAGGGTTCAAAAAGTTTGTGAAAAAATTCCATTGCCTTTTAATTCATTTTTGTTCTATGAATTTTTTGAGACCTCCTTGTAGTTCAGTTGCACATCACTGGCCTATGTGAGCTCTAGGTTCTTGGCCATTTTAATATTTTATTTTATTCTTTATATACTTCTTCCCCTCCCAACCCCAACCTCCGACCCCTTACATGTCTGTCAAATTTTCAGACAAGTTGGATGACTTACATTAAAGTTAAATAATCCTCAATGAAGATGAATGAGATAAAGATATAGGGAAGGTAGTTACTAAACTGAACACTGAGTTTAAAAGGAGGCCTTTTATTATGAATCAATTTTGGCACAGGTTTCCAGACAGTCCAAGCGTATTGAACCACTATTCATTCCTTAGACCTTTCTAACCTCCATCAACTGCAAAAGAAAGAAGGAATATTTTGCTGAGGGAGCTCAATGGTAAGACCAACTATGAAATAGAAGGATAACCAACAGCTAGGAAAGATTTTGGACCATAACTATATTGAGTTGTACCACAATGACTGTGAACCCCTGGGGAAAGTGGCATTTATTTAAATAAATACAGTCTCATGTATGTTTATTAGTATTATAAAAATCCAGATTAAACATTCATTGTGACAGAGAGATTTACTTTAATGCCTAAATTTGCCATATTGAGAAGTCATAAAAATATTTCATGCAGAATCTTTCTTTGCTAAAAGCGATTATAATATCCTTGTAGCACACATATTAATGTGTGGCAAGACTGCAATACAAATGTATTAAGGAAAAAGCAAACTAGGAAATAAGGAAGACATATTGGAATATGTCAAAAATCTAAACATGTCATAGTCAGAAAAATGGATTTTACCACCCAATTAAAATATTATAGCGATTAACTTCAGTTAGAATCCAAAATATGAGTACATAAATTAATTCGGGATTTGAATAGACAATGAAGCTTTAAAAATCTTGTCTATATTACAAGTTTGATGTTGATTGAGAAAGGGGAAAGAATTTATAATGATGTGGTCTGGAATAGAAGTTCAATGAGAGATCATTTTCCATAACCAATTTGTCAGTATCTTGATGAGAGAAGTCAGCACAGGAGCTTGCACACCTTTTAGAATGAGAGAGAGAAATCTGAACCAAGCATCACGTTTATCCCAATTGCATTTTGAAAATTCTGAGAGCTTCATCTCTAAGTCTTTGCTGCCATTGGCCACTCTGATTGGAATTCTGGGAAAAAGACTTTTTTTTTTCTCCTTCTGAGTTTGGTCCATTTTAATCTTAGCATGGTTCCCAACACCCATTCACTGGTCATTTCATTAGTTCTGTGTTTGGCCATGGCTCTATTTAATAAACATCACTGACAAAAAGGGAGGAGATGGATCTAGAAATAAGGTATTTTCTTCTTGGTGGATGTGGAAGTTGCTTTAAGAGAGTGTTGAAGATAGAAGAAAACCAAGAATTATAGTTTTTCCAGGCTTATCCTTGATTGAATTTTTTTTTTCCATTTTGACAATTGAGTTAAGAGTTGGTTGCCTTCTCTGTTTTCTGGAGAACTTTTTTGGATTGAAAGATTAGATTTATGAAGTCATTTTATAAATTTCCAGAAAAATAATAAGGGTAAAGTTTTGTAAAAGATTTATATGAGGAAAATGATCAAAAGTAATTCTTTTCCTCCTTCACAATGAAATGATGATCAATAATTAAGGAAAATTTCTGAGTAGGAACTATGTTATTAAAAGTAGAACTGTACCTTAATATATATATGTATATGTATGTATACGTATATATATGTATGTGTGTATATATGTGTGTATATGTATATACATATATATGTATATATTTGTATGTGTATATGTATATGTGTGTATATATATATGTATATATGTATATGAGGAATGACTGAAAAGATACCCATACATCTCATGAAAACATTGCCTCTGGAAATTGCAAATCACTTTGACACCAGGGTGGTCTTAGAAGGGGACTGTGGTGTGGATCTATAATGATTTATTTCATTAAAAATGAGAAGAAATAGTTAACATGGTAAATCTTTTGCTATATATATATATTACACAATTATTTTTAATGAGTAGGGACATCTATGGCAAAAATGTCCATAATTGTTAACTAGAAGAGATAGAATATTGGTGTAATTCTATTCCATATAGTTGAAACACAGGAATTTTCCAGTACTCAATAGTTTTAACGTACAAAAATTCAAATTTCTTTTGATTTGACTTAATATATTCTTAATTTTCAAGATTAAAAAAAATAGAAGGAATCTAAACTATGTTTAGATTTCAGCCACCAACATAACACAATCCATTTCAAAAAGGTGCACTGTAGATTTGAAAGATTTACATTTTTAAATCAAGGAAATTTGAGAAAAGTAGCAGTAGTACAATATTCAACAATCATGGATTTAGCTGTTTTGCATTCTAAGTTCCAGACCAACCGGCTCAACTTACGATCATTAAAAGCATTTGTTTTTAATTTGTGTTTTTTTTTTAAATAGATAAACTTGCCCGCCAATAAAAAGTTAAGCACTATGTGAGTGAGTGACTGCTGAACTATCATGCCTTCTAAGTGTGAGGCTAAGTGTGAGCTGACACAATACGAATTGTAGAGCTGAATGCATGTGCTCAGGAATGAAATCCAAAGTAAGTTATA